GAGAGAGAGAGAGAGAGAGAGAGAGAGAGAGAGAGAGAGAGAGAGAGAAAGAGTGAGAGAGCGCGCGCGCTCTTGACACAATCTTCTCTTTATGGGGCAGGCGTAGCATCGCACGAGGAAACCACCACCACCACCACCACCACCACAACCACCACCACCACCACCACCACCACCACCACCACCACCACCATCACGGGAAATAACGCTCTCGCTATTTGTCATCTCGTAAACTAACAACCTGCGCCGAGTAACAGGTGTTGACGTACACATAGTTACAGACGGCCACTTAGATACATGCGTTGTCAGGCTCGTTATGGAATATGCATCGTCAGCAATATAACGATGTGCATAGATTATTGCGCCACACAGACTAGCAATGCCTGCCCCTGTATACCAGGGCAATGTTTATTATCAATGTGAATAACTTCGCGTAAATATATTTGTCAAGGCTATATCCCTCCTATAACTGTGCTGGGCGGATAACACTCATTTTGACGCGAAATCTTCTTCTTCTATATTACCAAATTCAATTTACACAATTATTTATCGTGTTTGGCTGCCAGTACGTTCTTCGTGCAATTTCAGGGTTTCAACAGGTGAAGCATTGGTTGGTTGTTTGTTTATTTCATCGCAGTATCATAAACACGGAGTGTCATTTAGTCATGTGGTGCCCATGTGGAGCAGGCGTGCTGTGTATTTTTATTCTTATCTCTCTGTACTATTTTTTCATAAACTAGGCATTGCGCCAACGACCCTTTTTAAATGCAAATAGTTCATAGACAATATCAACAAGAACGTATACCCCGAGTTGGTCGGTTATCGATTGAAACGTGCATCCATAAAAAATTCAAACTAGATTATTCTGGTTTCGGCTTCTACCTCGGATGGTAATCGCGAGTACAATTTGTTTGCTTGAAAGGTTGATATTTACGGAGCGCAGCCAATACGAACGCGAGTACGTTGCGAAATTTTACGAGCGCCGAGTAAAGTGCAGCCGCGTAGCTGGCTGCGTGTCAGTCACCGCAAGCGAGTTAATGAGCCAAGATCACATTTCTCTAGTAGAGTAGCTGTAACAGCGCTTCCGCGAGGGCAGTACAGAATACAGANCGATAGTATAGAATTACTTGGCGTAGTTAAGTTCACTCAATACCGCCTGGTCAGATATCCCACGCGATTCCGATGCCACCAAACGTGACACAGCAGGTCATCGTTACAGCCCGTCACACAAAGACAGACAATGTCCCCGCGCACAGACACGAATACACGGAGCGTAGCGTCGAACCGACGGAGAAACGAGCAGCCCCCGACGGCGGCTGGGGGTGGGTCGTTGTCGCAGCTGCTACGATATGCTTTGCCTTCACTTGGGGTCAACAGAAAGCTTTCGGAATTTACATGATAGATATCATGGATATGCTAGGCAGTAATGTCATGCATACGTCTACGATTGGAGGCCTGAACACTGCTTTATCATATCTTTTCGGTAAGTAACAGACAGCAACGCATACAAGAAGCCAACTAGGCGAACAGGGCCGCTTATCAGATCGTTTTAGTGTTAATATATATTATCCATAGTCGTAACTTTACGATGTTTGTGACAGCGAGTTGCTGCCGAAGCTGTAACCAGCAAACGTAAATGAATTGAACTGTTAACTTGCCATGATTAACAAGCTGTACCGCTGGCAATATCCGGTGAGAAATACGAGAATTTGTCGCGTTCGATGATCATGCAAATTTACGCAAACTAGACTCGTCACGCTTAATCTTCCCTTGTGCACTTAGTATAAATAAATAAATATCATATATATATATACTACTATATATATATATAATATATATACTATACCGTATATATATGTATGATATATACACTGAGGTCTGAAAATGTTACACACTTACCATTTTCCAGGCGCTCTGGTGAGTGTCATATTGTAGCACACGTGATTCGCGCTACCTTTTTAAGATGTTCTGTAATGAACTAGAGACAAGTAAAGACAAAGACAAGACGGAGAAGTAGCGTTCAGTAGTGTTTTACTACATAATACAACATGGAAACTCAATGTACTACAGACTAGCCAAGACCGTTCATATACATCAGCAACCGTATCACGCACTACACCTTTCTCGATCAGTGTCGTCTAACAAGAGCCCGAGAAGGCAATGGCTTCACCTTATATACGCGCCGCGCCTTTCTCTACGTCCACTCTCGCTTATAGGCTTCCCTTCTCCGCTTCCTCGGCCACTGGACATACCAAATACGAGAATGCAGTCCTATACCTTCTCCATTACCCATTACCGAATGCTACGGATATTGCGTGTCTTCGCCCTCGCTTCGTACTTTGGCCGAATTCCATGATCCCATTCCTGCCTGATGTCATAGGCATCTGTCAAGCGTCTAGGTTGTCACAATGCGCAATGCCGGGGAAACCTTAGCCCCGGCGCTCGACCATTTGCTTACTCTCGTACTGCTCGACTTGGCTCGCGTAGTGTCCACTCTCAGCATGTTGTGACAACCTCTCTCGACACTGTGGCGCCAAGATTGCATTTCCCCGCATCGCTATCGCTTTTCTCGTGCATATGCAATCTGGCCGCTTACAATATATAAGAAGTACGGTGCCCGGACGCACGTGCATAGTTGGAGGTTGCTCGCTTGATCAGGACTGATCCTTGGTTTCGTCACAGACAGCCTAATCTTCCTCTACATCGGCATCGCGTCATAAACGGTAAACGCCATCAGCTACCTTTTTTCAAACGATTCATCGATTTTAAGCCCGGCGCCACACGTGAGTAATTTTACTCAAGTAAAAGTACCAGTGTTGAGTAAATTAATTGCTGTGATAAATATAAGCATTGTTAGAACGCGTTGGTATCAGTTTTCGATAACGGGTCTAGCCGCCTGAACGCTACTGCCACCTGGTGGCAAGCCCAGCAACTTTATTGCGATTCGGAAATCGGTTAGATCGGTTGTCGGGACTGCTGCTGATACACAGCTTGAAATTATCGTAAAATAAAATTACTCTCAAAGTCATCATACGTTCGATTTTGTACTCGCAAAGTTCGACTGACGTAATATGGAGAAATTGATATTTGGCTTCTTTCAGAAAGCATTAACTAAATAAAACTCATTAACTAAGTATTACGTTCTTCTATCACTTCCGCGTTCTGCCATCGTGGAGAAATTGTATTTCTTTGTATTGTTGTATCCTAGAGTGCATCGTATTGTATGCTCTACGCTGTGTTGTTGTATCACTGTATTGTTGTATCGTTGTATTGTTGTACCGTTGCATTGTTGTATTGCCGTGTTGTTGTACTGTTGTATTTCTGCTTAGTTATGTTGTCTTGCTGTATTTTTGTACTGTTGTATTTTCGTATTTTCGTATTTTCGTATTTTCGTATTTTCGTATTGTTGTATTGTTGTGTTGTTGTATTGTTGTTGTGTTGTGTCATTATTGTATTGTTGTTTTATTGTATTTTTTTATTATTTTTGCATGTTTGTTATGTTTTATTGTTGTATTGTTGTATCATTGTATTGTTGTATTGTTGTATCATTGTATTGTTGTATTGTTGCATTGTTATCTTTTCCTTACAGGCGTCGGTATTGCCATCATTGTCATCGCTTCATTTTCGATAGTCAACGAATATTTTGACAAGCGTGGCGCCATGGCTACGGCTATCTGCGTAACCGGGGCAGGCGTGGGCAGCCTGACATGGCCACTACTCACCAACATTCTCGTGGAGGCGTACACGTACCAGGGAGCTTTCCTCGTAACCGGTGCCGCCGTACTTAACGTGATCGTCTGCGGCCTTCTATTCCGACCGCTTACCGAGCCAAGGCGAGCAGTCGCGCCGTCGACGACAGTTACAGGAAATCAACGTGATGATCAACTAAACCAACGTGTCTCTATCGTCGAAGTCGATGCAAAGATGGCTTCACGGATGAAATCGGTAGGGCAGCCTCAGAGCGAAGCCGGGCGAAGCGAGGAGCATTTTCCCAGACTGACCGTTCCCAACGAGGAGGCTGGCTCACCGGCAACGTTAGAGGCTCAGCTGTGGGGAGATCGCGAACGCTACATGGAAGATTGCGTTGACTGGTCTAATAACGACGGTAGCCAATCTATCGGAAACACTGGGATGAGTGGCAAGAATGGAGCTACGACACCAGGCACGGTAGCTACTGTCACAGGCCAGCGTCATAATGCGGAAACGCAGGAAAACGCCGAAGGATTCCATCACCAAAATTCTTTTACTGACGATGGGCCTCTGACGTTTACCGTTTATAATATCTATGATGACGCAATGCCGATTTGGATAGACACGCAGCTAGACGATAGTGTGTCGAGCGAAGGCGGTATGTGCCCCGCAGGTAAATACAGACGAAATAGCTTAGACTATGTAAGCAGTCCGATGACAGTCGAACAACGAGTGGCACATCTCCCGGTAACCGAAACATCGGGATATCAAAAATCACTCACGGAAATCGTTAGTCAGGTTCTTTCTCAGCAATCCCAAGACGTAGACAGTGATAAGCGAGACAACAGGGAAGAATGTTTGGTTCCGGTGGTCTATCAAAGCGTACAGGACCCGTTGAAATTGATCACGGTAGACTTTGACAGAGCGGATCAAAGAAATAACATGCGCGTGGGGCGATATGGCAGCAGTAATGACCTGTTGGATAGCGATGAACTATCACAAACTTACGATGGCACGACTGCCAGAGACGTGGACTGTATAAGCCGCAATGCGTACGTAAATCCTGCATTTATCCACGATATTACTGACACTGATGACATCGTTAAGAAAACCCCGCCACTTGCGGTGAAAAAGAAAGCGCGTCTGATATCTACGAAACTCTTCAAAAGCGTTCGATTCTGGATAATGATGCTCAGTTTTATCCCAATCGATTTCGGCTATACCACCATTAGTCTTTACTTACCGATGAAGTCGGTTGAGATCGGAGGAAAGCAGGCAAACGAGTCGACAGCAGTGACACTCTTATACCTAGTCGATACGGCCGTTAGAATTCTACTAAGCATTGCGTACAACGCGCAGTTCTTTCAGTCACACGCCAGGCGCCAACTCGCCTACGTTGCTTGTCGGTATTGGCTTCACGCTGTTGATGTTTGTACAGACGATTGGACTATACTTGATTGCGTCTGGAATCATTGGAGCTTGCACGGGTTCGATGATATGCGCAAGCTGGGTCGTCATGAGAGACGTCGTTGGACCGGCCAGATACACGGACGCCTGTGCCTTGAGACAATTCTTGGAGGCGCCCATATTATTCGTTGCACCCATGATACTAGGTAATTGTAGCGTGTTCTAATAGTTGAAGATGTACAATGTCGTTCTCAATTTATAGAATGTATATACTAAAGCACAAGCTATAGTGACCGTTAATAATTGCAAATATATCAGTTAGCATTAACCGCGATCTATTTTGTATAGGTGCCCTATATGATAGCAAGCAGCGGACACGGCCTGTATTTACGATCATCGGTGTACTGATGCTGCTGTCGGCTGCCATCGCTGTACCGCTGCCGATTCTAACGAGAAGACGCGAGAAGAAGCTCAGGGAAGGAGACAGCGCCGACACTGTTGCTGCCGAAGCCGAGTCATCTGATAGCTCGGAGGAGGAATCGGAAGATGCTTTCTTTGATGGTATGCCAAGCAACGTCGTAATCATGTAACGGTAGTGACTTAGCGTACCGTTGTCATCGTGTATTCATCGATCGAGACATTTATTGAATATATAATTTAAATTATATATATAGTTCTTTACGTGATGGCTTGTGCATAGAATTTCATTTATCGTGATATTGTGTCAGTGAAACCACCAAGTTCTGCGTATTTCCTGATGCATGCGATCCTGGCTGGTTATTTGCTGTTAATATTTGCGCGTAGTGCATAGCACACCTTTCTATTCAATTATTTGCGAGTAGTCACGATAACTTCGCGTGGCTTTACTTGTACTACGACGTAATAATTTATAAATAAATACTCGCGAACCGACTTATATATATATAAATATATACTAACGTTCAACTGCCAGTTCTATTGTTATAGTTGTATTGATTTATTCTAATTAAGTAGCAGACACGTTGTTTTTTATAGAACGGAAACTGATTATTTATATATTAATTGAAGTTGTTATTTTGTATGTCATATTTCTATGCCGACGAGAGCGGCACAATGATTGACACTTTATTACTAATATATATTATACCACCTTAATTGTTGTTGTTTATTCTTTTATTATTTCCATGTTTTGCACATCCGCCGACCAAACACACGAAGAGCCGACATTAATTATTTAATCGTGCCAAAACGAATGACTCGTGTCTGCAAGACACACGCGCGCACACACACGCCGCGTACACAACCACCTACACACACACGCACGCACGCACGCACGCCACGCACATATACATGTAAAATATTATACATTTTATGATAGCTGATATAGTCTATCTAGTTGTAGATGTATATACGCCCAACAAGGAGTAGAATTAAATAAAATGGCAAGCTGAGAAAATCGAGTCCTACTTCTTCACGTAGTATAGAAATGCCTACTTTAGGCAATTGGATTGCTTCGTCTTACAAAACAGTTACTTAAATCACCATACAGGGCACGTTCGCCTCACTTGCCTAGAGAAATGCCAAATTTGGTATTTAAAAAAAGGTAAGGGCACAGCAGCCAAGCCGGCTACGCAGCAATTAAGGCTCCCTCCAGCAGCTACACTCGGCAGGCAACGATTTATTAATAAAAATAACTGACACTTCCCGCTGCACCAGTATCTGCTCCCTGCCAAAACACCGGCTTACTTTACTAGAAGTTGCTTTTAAAAGATGGCCTGTTTGTCGCCGACTTCATGCGCTTCGCACCGCGCAACGCCATTCGTTCTATCACCACGTAAAGGCTCACGTTTTTCGTAAGCGCCAACACTCTAACGGATTGGCGACGCCGTTATCAGCCTAAACGAAATCGGCAGGAAAACCTATAGGCTATACTTAGAGATGCATTACAGACTGGTCGTATACTTAGCTATCCGCTTTTTATTACTAGGTCGTGCTTTAGGTAAAAACTATACCCGATTACATTCCCCATGTATCTCTCGTCGCCATGTTACTGGCATAGGCCTACAGAGGACGCTGGCGCCGGAAAGTGACACGAAACGACTCATCACACACTCGATTCCATGTTAATGGCCTCTGCATATCAGTGATGAGCATAGATCTCATTTATAATATTGTGTGTTGCGAGCGTTGCCCCACCTGTCGCGTCTGCGCGCGCGTGCATGCGTGCCGTGCGTGAGTGACTGTGCACGTGGGTGCATCACTGCGTGCTGTGCGGCGCGTGCCGCTGTGTGTATGCGTTTATATGTGCGGCATGTTTGCGTGCTGCGTCTGAATCCGGGTGTGTGGGATGCACGCAACTGCGTGCACTGAGTATATATATATTATATATACGCAGCCCGCGCGCGCCGCGGTGCCGTTGTGTGGTGTGTGGAGCTGTGTGTGCTCTGTGTGTGTGTGTGTTGCTGCGCCCGCGTGTGTGTCGTGTTGTGTGCTGGTGGTGTGTGTGTGTGCATGCGTGCGCGGCGCGTGTGTTGTGCTTGTGCGTTCGCGCGCGATCGCGCGCATGTATACCACCATGTCTCGAAGATAAATGTGTTGACCTCAGGGACTGTTCTTAGTGTGATGTCCCAGAGTAAATATTTATCACATTTTTACGATTCTTGTTCAAACAACTAGCAGCAGCTGCAGTGGAGGATAGAGCCGGTATCGACCGGTTTTGTAATATCGCAATCTCGAATTCGATCTACGCGTAGTGGCCACGTGCCGACCACACATCTCCACAATCTATCCGTTCTTTGCGCGAATGAGGCATACACGCGCCCACACGGCGCGCTCCTCTTGTCTAGAAACGGACAAACTATATCAGCAGGTGTGCAGACGCGTGCTGCTGGGGCCGCTGGCCGCCCGCCAGTAAACGTCTCAGTTTATAATACAAGCCGCCACCAAGCGCAGCCCTCGCACTTTGTTAATGCAAGAACTAGAAGAACTCGCTGCTCGTCTACGCCAACCCTTCCGTACGCATCTCTGCTGATAGTGTGTATCGTACGTTTGCTCATGGCGCGCCACGTTTCTTCAACGCGACCTCTGCTACGTCTCACGACGAAGGCGTTGCACATCAGATCCCAGTGTCCGCCTAAAAGTCTGTTCAAATACGTGAGAGTCCACCCGTCTAGCGGCGAGAAACCGCACCCAACCCCTGACGCGTATGAGTGCTGGGGCTAGTGTCGTTTGTCATGGCTGCTGCCCTATCACTGGGGCGTCCTCAGCTGGCGACAACAGAACGCCGTCGTCTGGATTTTATGATTGACATCGATGAACAGACTTGGAACCTAATGCGCCTACAGACATCCACGATCGGACGGACTGCGAACCATCTCTGTCATGCCTACTAAGTAAGTATTATTAAACTGCTAAAAACGCTTAAATTATACACTTCTTCTATACATCACTTTCTTAATACATCAATGTGTTATGCCGAATGTTCGGTTTCTAATTAAAGGCATAATTCGACCATCGATTATGCAAAGTTCGGCACGAATTGTACAGTAACTGCGCACCTTGTGTAGGCTTAATAAGACATTACCTTATCCAAACGCGCTATTAGTTTTGTCCATTATCACTGCTTAATTACTAAGAAAATGCTCTAATTGAAATCCGTAAAATTTGGTAATCTGGTCGACAACCCGTCCGTGAAATATTTATGCGCCAAACAAAAAATAAACATGCGTAGTTCGGTTCGGCTGACGTTCACATGTTGTTGCCTAACAAGATGTTGAGCCATCGAATTGATTCTGCTCCGCGGTAAATTAGGTTTGCCTAGTGTTATTAAGGTTGCCTAAGTGCACAATTATTATAGTGTTGCTTTTTGAATTCTCAAAGAGCACGTATATTCATTTATTCCCGTAATCCCAAGAGTAAAACCATAACGTTACGCGGTCCAAGATGGGGCGCCGACAGGTGGGGGCAGGAGCGGTGACGGTCGTCGCTCTCCCGCCTATCATTTGCAAGAAAAACCGAAGAAGAAGAAAGAAAAAAAAAAAGAAAAGAAAAAGAAAAAGAAATAGAAAAAGAAAGAAGAAGACAGAAGAAGAAAAGAAAAAAAAAGAAACACTCTTGCAAATGTCTTGCCAAAAATGATGTGGTGGCGTGGGGTCACCCCCCCCCAATTCTATTTTGCAATGAAAAAGGTAAGAAGAAGAAGATATCTTGCAGAATATATAGGGGGATCGCCCAAAAATGGAGTGATGTACCTAGCCTACAAGCTGGACCACTTATCCATCGAAAAATTAAGGCTGTCGAAATCAATCCATATAAAACTTCGTGCTGTAATTGATAATTCGATGTCAGGCGTTTTATTTCTTGGGAGTCCAATTGGCGGACCATCATTGTCACACTGATTGCTGTTTCCCGCCGGCAAAAGGTAGGCACACTTAAGGGTGTTAACAACATTATCAAATTATAATACAACGTTCAGACTGACCTCTAATAATACTCTTACATGCTATCTTATTTTTTACCTCGCCCACGGCAGTGGAGGCGAGGTTAGTGATCGGGTCTGTCGTCGTGACGTTGCGTGTTCCCCACTATCGCCGTTACCTCGTCAACGCACACCCCGCCGCTAGCACGGTAGAGTCTCCATAGATTCTGTAGTCCCGGTACGCGCCCCGCTGCCAGACCATAACGTGTGTGTGTGACCGTCCGATGTGTGTAGTGTCTGTGCTGGCATGTGTGTGCTCGTGTGGTGCGTTGCGTGCGTGCGCTGCGTCGTGTGTGCTGACGCGATCGATATTAGCGGTCAGCGACGCGAGCCAGCCACAACCGGGCTTGCTGACTGAGCGGCGATCGAGATACATGGTACGCTGCGTATATCGTGGGTTATTCGTGTGTTTCGGTGAGTCGTATTGGCTATGCAGCCATCGCGGGGGGTAATGCCTCTCTCCTGAGTGCCCTCTGTCTGCTTTAGTTAGTGTTGTGCTATGCCGCACGCGCGCGCCGTGTGTGTGTGTGCCGGTGTTGCGTGCGTTCATCTCTCTCCGGGTTCATGTTTTTCTCTCTCTCTACATAATACAACAATTATTATGGTTCAAGTTGCATACATGCATAGCATTATAAAGCAAATCACTTGTTCCCCCCACAGTTCCGCGAACCCCCTCTTTTTAAACGTGTCCAGTTTCATAGCATTGAATTTCAACGACCTAGGCTAGTTCCGGAGACCCCCATTTTCGACATAGCCGTTCCAGCAGCATACACATTCAACCAACATTAAGTTCCGAACGACACCCATTTTCAGGACTGGAGTTAGTTCCAGAGCCCCCCCATTTTTAACTTTGTCTCTTTTTCAGTGGCACATACCAGATACCTTAGCATTAATGTGGGGTGAGTCCCCCCCCCGGGCTTCATCTCCTTGGCTATATGTTGCTCCTTGGTTCCCTGCCCACAATTTTTTTGTCCAGCAATTTAGCAGGGCCTTTGATTAGTCTAAACTCTGAGAGATCTTCCGGAACCCCTGCCCGGCGGCTCTGCCACGGACCCCGCAGGGGCACTAAGGCGGGCCCCTGGGTGGCCGCGATTCATTCAACGTTGCCGCAAAGTGTATTGCGACCACAGAGTTTTACGATAGTACGCACGCAAAGCCTCGTAGGTGCAATTCATCAAACGCAGCGCTAGCAACCCTGCGTAACGCAAATGTGGCATGAATTCCGGTTCTTTAAATCACTACGCCATCGTTAAGCTGCTGCGCTGTTGAGGCGGCGTTGCCTAGCCATAAACCAATCACACTGTTGCGACACATACCCATAGGAACCAAACTGACCCCTCTTTCTTGTATGTTAAACCATAGTGCTTCTAGCTGTCTACAGCGAAGTCTGTGGCGGNATAATCTTCCCTTGTGCATATATAAATATTATATATATATATATGATATATACACTGAGGTCTGAAAATGTTACACATTAACATTTTGCAGCGCCTCTGGCGAGTGTCATATATAAGAAGTACGGTGCCCGGCGCACGTGCATAGTTGGAGGTTTGCTCGCTGGATCAGGACTGATCCTTGGTTTCGTCACGAACAGCCTAATCATCCTCTACATCGGCATCGGCGTCATAAACGGTAAACGCCATCAGCTATCTTTTGCAAAACGATTAATCGAATTTTAAGCCCGGCGCACACGTGAGTAATTTTACTCAAGTAAAAGTACCAGTGTTGAGTAAATTAATTGTGTTGATAAATATAAGCATGTTAACGCGTTGGTATCAGTTTTCGACAACGGGTCTAGCCGCCTAAACGCTACTGCCATCTGGTGGCAAGCCCAGCAACTTTATTGCGATTCGGAAATCGGTTAGATCGGTTGTCGGGACTGCTGCTGATACACAGCTTGAAATTATCGTAAAATAAAATTACTCTCAAAGTCATCATACGTTCGATTTTGTACTCGCAAAGTTCGACTGACGTACTATGGAGAAATTGATATTTGTCTTCTTTCGAAAAGCATTAACTAAATAAAACTCATTAACTAAGTATTACGTTCTTCTATCACTTCCGCGTTCTGCCATCGTGGAGAAATTCTATTTCTTTGTATTGTTGTATCGTAGAGTGCATCGTATCGTATGCTCTACGCTGTGTTGTTGTATCACTGTATTGTTGTATCGCTGTATTGTTGTACCGTTGCATTGTTGTATTGCCGTGTTGTTGTACTGTTGTATTTCTGCCTAGTTATGTTGTCTTGCTGTATTTTTGTACTGTTGTATTTTCGTATTTTCGTAATTTCGTATTTTCGTATTGTTGTATTGTTGTGTTGTTGTTGTGTTGTGTCATTGTTGTATTGTTGTTTTATTGTATTTTTTAATTATTTTTGCATGTTTGTTATGTTTTATTGTTGTATTGTTGTATCATTGTATTGTTGTATTGTTGTATCATTGTATTGTTGTATTGTTGCATTGTTATCTTTTCCTTGCAGGCGTCGGTATTGCCATCATTGTCATCGCTTCATTTTCGATAGTCAACGAATATTTTGACAAGCGTGGCGCCATGGCTACGGCTATCTGCGTAACCGGTGCAGGCGTGGGCAGCTTGACATGGCCACCGCTCACCAACATTCTCGTGGAGGCGTACACGTACCAGGGAGCTTTCCTCGTAACCGGTGCCGCCGTACTTAACGTGATCGTCTGCGGCCTTCTATTCCGACCGCTTACCGAGCCAAGGCGAGCAGTCGCGCCGTCGACGACAGCTACAGGAAATCAACGTGATGATCAACTAAACCAACGTGTCTCTATCGTCGAAGTCGATGCAAAGATGGCTTCACGGATGAAATCGGTAGGGCAGCCTCAGAGCGAAGCCGGGCGAAGCGAGGAGCATTTTCCCAGACTGACCGTTCCCAACGGGGAGGCTGGCTCACCGGCAACGTTAGAGGCTCAGCTGTGGGGAGATCGCGAACGCTACATGGAAGATTGCGTTGACTGGTCTAATAACGACGGTAGCCAATCTATCGGAAACACTGGGATGAGTGGCAAGAATGGAGCTACGACACCAGGCACGGCAGCTACTGTCACAGGCCAGCGTCATAATGCGGAAACGCAGGAAAACGCCGAGGGATTCCATCACCAAAATTATTTTACTGACGATGGGCCTCTGACGTTTACCGTTTATAATATCTATGATGACGCAATGCCGATTCGGATAGACACGCAGCTAGACGATAGTGTGTCGAGCGAAGGCGGTATGTGCCCCGCAGATAAATACAGACGAAATAGCTTAGACTATGTAAGCAGTCCGATGACAGTCGAACAACGAGTGGCACATCTCCCGGTAACCGAAACATCGGAATATCAAAAACCACTCACGGAAATCGTTAGTCAGGTTCTTTCTCAGCAATCCCAAGACGTAGACAATGATAAGCGAGACAACAGGGAAGAATGTTCGGTTCCGGTGGTCTATCAAAGCGTACAGGACCCGTTGAAATTGATCACGGTAGACTTTGACAGAGCTGATCAAAGAAATAACATGCGCGTGGGGCGATATGGCAGCAGTAATGACCTGTTGGATAGCGATGAACTATCACAAACTTACAATGGCACGACTGCCAGAGACGTGGACTGTATAAGCCGCAATGCGTACGTAAATCCTGCATTCACCCACGATATTACTGACACTGACGACATCGTTAAGAAAACTCCGCCACTTGCGGTGAAAAAGAAAGCGCGTCTGATATCTACGAAACTCTTCAAAAGCGTTCGATTCTGGATAATGATGCTCAGTTTTATCCCAATCGATTTCGGCTATACCACCATTAGTCTTTACTTACCGATAAAGTCGGTTGAGATCGGAGGAAAGCAGGCAAACGAGTCGACAGCAGTGACACTCTTATACCTAGTCGATACGGCTGTTAGAATTCTACTAAGCATTGCGTACAACGCGCAGTTCTTTCAGTCACACGCCAGGCGCCAACTCGCCTACTGCATCTTCACGTTGCTTGCCGGTATTGGCTTCACGCTGTTGATGTTTGTACAGACGATGGGACTATACTTGATTGCGTCTGGAATCATCGGAGCTTGCACGGGTTCGATGATATGCGCAAGCTGGGTCGTCATGAGAGACGTCGTTGGATCGGCCAGATACACGGACGCCTATGGACCCTGTGCGCTTGAAGCCACAATTCTTGAGGCGCCCATATTATTCGTTCACGCCATGATACTAGGTAATTGTAGCGTGTATCTAATAGTTTGAAGATGTACAGATGTCGTTTTCCTGCAATTTATGAGAATTGTATATTACTATAAGCACAATGACTATAAGAGTACCGTTGGAATGAATTGCAAATATATCAGTTAGCATTAACCGCCGATCCTATTTTGTATAGGTTGCCGAGGTATAGTTTTAATTATATTCTTATTTTTATTTATTATCAAGGTTTGTGTTATTTTTTAGTATTTTATATTTTTTTGATAGTTTTTTAATTATTTTGTTATATTATATCTTTATTGGTTATAAATTTTTTTTTATTGTTATTAGCTGAGTGTTTTAAGTGTAAATTTTCTTGGTTTTTTATCATTTTCTCGAATATTGTATTGGATATAGCACATTGTTCTTATTCTTCATTATATATATTTTTTTTTTGGATTATATGCTATATATGATGAGCTTATTTAAGCAGGCGGCAGCGGCCTGTATTTACGCTTAATGTCATCGTGTACTGATGGGCTTTGCTTGAGTCGGCTGGCCAATCGCTGTACGGCGGCTGCCGATTCTAACGAGAAGAGCGCGAGAAGCCAGCTCAGGGAAAGGATGAAGCGGCCAGACACTGTTGGGCTGGGGCCGAAGCCGAGTCATGCTGATAGCTCGAGGAGAATCGGGAAGATGCTTTCTTTGATGGTATGCAAGGGCAGGAGCGCGTAGATCTGTAAGGCGGTAGTGACCTTAGCTGTACCCGTTGAATCAATCGTGTATTGCATCGAGACATTTATTGAATATATATTTAAATAATTATATAGTTCTTTAGGTGGCTGGCCTTGTGGATAGAATTTATTATCGTGATATCGTGTGAAACACCAAGTTTCTGGTAATTTCCTGATGAATGGATTCCTGGCTGTTATTTGTTGCTAATTTGGCGGTAGTTGCATAGCACACGATTTCTCATTGCAATGTATTTGCAGAGTATCACGAATTTAACTCGCTGGTGAAGCCTTTAGCTTGTAGCGAACGTTAAATATATTAATAATAAAATACGCGAAACGTATAATAAATATTATATATATACTACCTAACGTTACTGCAGTCTATTGTATGTTTGTATTATTTATTCTAAATTAAGTAGCAGACGACGTGTTTTTTAATAGAACGGAACTGATATATTTTTATAATATAATGAAGTTATTATTTTGTATGTCAATCTATGTCTATGCGACGATTGACGAGAGCAATGATTGACAGCTTTATTCTAAATATATATATAGGCACACTTAATTGTTGTTGTTTTTATTATTTTTATGTTTTATGTTTGAACTGCGGCGATGCCAAAGCACGAAAGGGGACATATAATTATTAATGGCGTGGCAAAAAACGAAGACTCATTCGGTGTGTCTGCGAGACAACACGCGGCGCAAACACATAACCAGCACTACACATAAATACATCGCCACGCACAGCAACGCACAATGCTACACGCCATATACATGCAAATAATTTTATTATATACATTTATAATGGTGATTATAGTCTAATCTAGTGTTAGATGTATTATAAGCGCCTAACAAAGGTAGAACTAACAAGATGGAGTTGGAGAAATCGAGTCCTACTTCTCCACCGTAATAGAGAAAATGCGCTAGCAGGAATGTGAGATTGGCTCCGTCTACCAAAACAGTTACTTAAGTAACCATTACATGCAGGGCATGTTCGCCTGCACACACGCCTAGAGGAATGCCAAATTTAGTATAAAAAAAGGAGGCACCAGCAAGCCGGGTACGCAGGCAATTAAGGCTGGCCCGGTCCAGAGCTACTCTCCGCGTGCTACGATTTTTATTAATAAAATAACTGACATTCCCGTGACCAGTTCGCTGGCAACGCGCACCGCTTACTTTAGATAGAAGTGTGTTTTGAAAGATGACTGTTCTGTCGGGGCGGAATCTACTAAGCTGGACGCTGCAAGTCCGCGCACGGCTTGCCATGCGATTCGTACTCGGGACGCCTAGTGGACCGCATGGCATTACGGTTTTCGTAAACGCGCCAATCGGGATCTTAACGGATGGCGCGCCCCGTGTATGCAGCGTAGAGAACCCGAATGCGGCAGAAAGACTAATAGCTATATACTAGGAGAATGCCCCGAGTACAGACTTTGAGTTTCGTATCTTACCTATACGCATTTTATTACTTAGGTCTTCGCTTGGGTTAACCTATACCCGACTTTTACATTCCTCCATTGTCATCTCTCGTATCGCGGTTCACTGGATGCCCCAGTGCTACGGAGAGACCAGCTCCCTGGGCGACTCCAGAGAGGAGTGAAGCTGAAACGACTCATCACACAATGGAAATTCCATGTTTTTAAATGGCCCCTGATATGCATATGAGATAGTTTTTAGAGGTTATTGTGTGTGCGCGCGTGGGCGTTTACATACATGCGGTCGACTATCCTGCAGGCCGTCTCCGAGCGCATGTGTGCGCATTTAAACACATCTACGCAAGGCTTGATGCCTGCGATGTAATGGATTGTATAGAAAGCGCGCTCCGTCAGATCTGCTATATCTCCATGTCAGATCTAGCATCGGGCGCAGCTGGGCGCATCTTAGCTAAGCACCACGCCGAATACTCTCATTGCTGATCGCGTAGTGACGAATTTAGTGGGTTTAGGCTGAAACGAGGACACTTTTCGCTCTCAGCCGGAGCACTTACGAAGTAGTGACGCGTCCACCGCAGACTCCACTCCAATATTCGAGCGCGCTCGATTAACTATCTACACATTGCTATTTTTGGTCTGCGACCGAGAATGCGTGCACCGTCGAGAGGCCACCTGCTTATTTAATTGGATAGTTGTTGGGACTATCTTTTGTACTAGGTCGTAGAAGCTGATTAATACGCCTTGTTGTCCTTCTCACACGCGGGGTGCACGTCCCAACCGTTGTCAAAGCTACGCGACAACTCTCCGTCGTCATTTAAGCATTGTTCGTTTAGAGGAGCGTCCAAGGCGGCCGACAATGCATTCTTCATAACTGCAACAAGCTGTTTCCTAATGGACAACCAATTGTTGGTGTACTAAGACGTCGGATAATACTGTGCTTATGTGGTGTCCAGTGAGAAAACTCGAGAGACGCAGTCAATTTTAGTGGGCAGAAGAATTGTATGAACTCGGAGCGCGAGTTAAGAAGTGGTGGGGCCGATTTGGCGGAAGGGTATGGAATTTTGGATCCTGCGTTGCGTTCGCGAAGAACGCGTGAATATAATGAATCTTCACTACCAGCAAGACTGCATGTGAAGTTGCCTCTGAGTCATTAACTGAAAGCGATGTAATATTCCCGTAAGTGAAAAGAGGTTCACATATGTTTACGGTGCGCTTGCGAGTCAGTATTATAATGACCCACTGACATTAGTTTTTGAGTCAATGCACGGCCGGTGGGTCGGCTGTTATTCCAGCTTTGTACTCTCATTTCCACGCTGTTGACATGCTATATGCCATTTGAAGACTTGTGGATGTGAATGCTGTTTGGCATCCGTGTCGAGAGTTCAGAAAACCGAGCGGTCCGCGTCTGCGAAACTATCGCACGCTGGTGAGACAGTGCTGTTTTTTTCCCTTTAAGTACTCCTTTTTCCACAAAGGCGTAAAGAATTTTTGTGGCGTTTGGCTCATTCCCAAAGTCTGCCGGGGATGGCCGTATCGGCAATGTAGAGGATATGTAGATCCTGGCTTACGTAAGGGTGGATTAAGCGTATATTATTCTGACTGGTTAGATGCATGCAGCAACGGCGTTTCACGCCCTTCACAAATAAGGTTTTAAATGAGGTCATTGCTTCTGATCCAAATGTCCATGGGGTGTACCGGAATCGCTCAGAATTAAAAATTCACATCTAAAGAAAAAAAGAAGCCAATTAATTCATTGTGCCTGTTTCCCCTCCTCTCTCTCGCTCTCGTCTCTTCATCTCTCTCTCTCATCTCATATCTCACAATCATCTCGTTGTCATCTTCGCTTTCCTCGCTCTCATGCTCTCGTCCTCTGCTATCTCTGGCTGCTCATGGCTCTCTCTTCTGCTCGTCTCTCATCTCGAGCATCTGTGTTTTCTTGTTCTGTTCGCAATCGCTTTGCTCGCGTTGCTCTTGTATGTGTTAAGTGTGGTGTGCGTCGTTGTTGTGTGCGCGTCGCATAAGTTATAATTTTCCTGTCGGCGGCATTTTGTTATATATTCAGCGAATGAATTGAAAGATGAAATATTTACATTCAATTATGCTCAACTGCCGGATAAAACATCCACCACTTTGTGCTCACGAGTACTATTGTATGATTGTGTTTATAAGCGCCAAAGGACGCAGTTTACATACAGGGCTGCTGTAGCTGCGCCGTATGCAATCGGCATGTGGTCATTGATTTTATAACATGTATATATATATATCATATAAATTGTACGGTGCTTGTAGATAAAACACTTAATATATCAGAGCCCACACCAGAACGTCGAAAATGTGAGTGGGTTACTCGTTACTAAGTCCTGTTAGTTTTATCACCGACGATTTAGCCGCCGCAAGTTATATCTAGTCAGTGTCACCATAAACCATTTCAGCCATACCAACAACTCATTTCGTCTAACTCTCAAGAAATAATAAATAATTAATATTATACAGTACAGCAATGTGTCATTCACATCCTTACCGCTCTAAGCATCTAGATAGATTAATTTATTAATAATAAAAATTATTAAATTAATAATTGTAAATTGAATTATTAATAATTAAATTAACAATATTAAATTATAAGAATTTATTAAATGAGAAATAAACGCTAATTTATTACCATAATAAAGTAATAAACACCTTTTTATATACTCTATATATACATGAAAATGGCAGCTATTGTTTTAGTTATCCTATTGTTATGTAGTTCCTATAGTAATCTGTATATGTTAAAATCGAATCTATTGTTCTGCTGGTATATTTTGTTGTTTCGTTAGGCTTTTTGAGTCCAATTTTTTTTTGTTTGTTTCTAATCTTATTGCAGCCATTTTATATGCTGATTCGATCTATAAAACAACACCAACATTATAATAGTAGATGATAACAAGATATAATGGCGGAAATAGATAGAAACAAAACAAAAAGTCAAAAAGCCGAACAAACAATAGACCAGTCAGGAACAATAGATCGATTTAACTATAGAACTATAGTACTACATAACAATAGATAACTTAAAAGCAATAGCGCCATTTACTGTAATATATAAGTTATAGTATTTTATATAAGGTTTATTCTTCATTAGAAGTCTGTGCTGATGCATGGCGTAAGCGTGAAACTCGGAATGTATGCAGCTAAAAAGTGATGGGCTTGTCTATAATATTATCTACAAGACTAGCAATTTATTACGCTCTGGGCAACTTAGTAACATTCGAGCACTCATATGCAGACAGTATAGACTGGCAAGCAATGCGCAGAGAGACATGCATACAAGATTGCGTAGCACAGCTTTGGCATGTTGAGTCCTAAGCGCTGGTCGCGGCCAGATGAGACGCGCAGTTTCGCGGGATATGCGCACGCGACGGCGGTGATGTTCAAAGTATGAAGCGCTGTCCGCAGTAGAGACCAGTGCGCCAAATTCCGAGGCGGGCCAGCGCACGTCCTCCAGGCAGCAGGTCAGCGGATGGTCTTGTAGTTTTAGATAGATGACAATGATTATCTATGGACGTATAAGTTGCTAGGAATTGAGATTATATAACAGTAACAAAAAATCGCTCAGTCATGCTCCTAGATTTTTTAGCTGAAATGCAAAAAGATTAAAAATTTAATCCAAACAAATACAAATGGGTTATAAAATTCAGCAAAACCAAAAGAAAGGATAGAGATAGGAGAATATTAATAGG